GACTAGTCTTAATCGAAAGTTCTCTCTTGTGATCGGGAGGGGTAATTAATTATAGGGGCTTGCGCCTATAGGAAACCAGAACTCAGATCATAAAGTCCTCGCAAAATGAGGGCGAAATCTCTGGGTAGTGTCTTATCTACAAACCCATCTGCCTTCCAAAATTTACCCCAGAACTTATTTCATTAAAACTCCCTCGCCGAAAATAAAAACAATAAGTGCGGGTGGAGGCCGGGGCCAAATTTTCGGAGCCCACAATATTCACAAAAATTGTTGCTATCATTTATTCAAGGTCTTTTAGTGAAACATAGCACAGTATCTGTCATTTAGAATTGATGTTTAAGGAATCATATTCATCTTTGATGTAAAAAATCATTCCACAAATTGGATTTTTAATTAATTTAATATTTTCATTATTAGATACAACAACAACATCAAGTCTTTATCCCACTATGTGGGGTCGGCTACATGAATCCTTTTTCTCCATTGTGTTCTATTAAAAGTCAAATTCTCATTTAAATCTAATAAATAAAGGTCATTCCTAATATTTTCTAACCAGGTCTTTTTAGGTCTACCCCTACCTTTCTTAATATAAGTCAAATCTAATACCTCTACTCTCCTAACTGGGTCATCGGAAGGCCGCCGTTTTATGTGACCAAACCATCTAAGGCGACTCTCTCTAATTTTATCTTCTACTGGAGCTACTCCAACCTTTTCACGTATATGCTCATTTCGTATCCTATCTCTAAGGGTAAAGCCACTCATCCACCTGAGCATTCTCATCTCTGCCACACTTAACTTAGTATTATGCTTCTCTTTTAATGGCCAACATTCGGCACCATAAAGCATTGCAGGTCTCACTACCATCTTATAGAATTTTCCCTTAAGTTTGAGGGGTACATTTCTATCACATAACAAGCCCGATGCATTCCTCCACTTCAACCATCCAACTTGAATTCTGCTGATAATATCCCCATCTATTTCACCATCACTCTGAACAATAGATCCAAGATATCTAAAACGTGTACTCTTATTAATGACTTGATCGCCCAAAGTCACAATCCCCTCACTAGGTCTATTACTACTAAAATTACACTCCATATATTCCGTTTTAGATCTACTCAAGCGAAAATCTTTAGACTCTAAGGTTGACCTCCATAATTCAAGTTTACCTTCAACTCCCTCTCTAGTCTTATCAACAAGAAGAATATCATTAGCAAAAAGCATACACCAAGGTACATCCTCTTGCAAATGTCTAGTGAGAACATCCATGACTAAAGCAAAAAGATATGGGCGTAAGGCTGATCCTTGATGTAACCTAACTGAAATAGGAAAATACTTGGTCAAACCACCTTGTGTTTGAACACAAGTAATAGCTCCTGTATACATATCTTTAATGATTTGAATATAAGCATTATTAACTCCTTTCTTTTCAAGAACTCTCCATAGCACTTCTCTTGGAACTTTATTATATGTTTTTTCTAAATCAATAAATATCATATGGAGATCCTTCTTATTTTCTCATATTTCTCCATCAAACCTCTTAATAAATGTATGATTTCCATAGTCGACCTATCCGGCATGAATCCAAATTGATTTTGAGAAACATTAGTATCACGCTACAACCTATATATGCTCCATAACTCGCTCCCAAAGTTTTAAAGTATGACACATTAACTTAATTCCTCTATAATTTGCACAATCTTGTGCATCACCTTTATTCTTAAAAATATGAATTAACACACTCATTCTCCACTCATCTGACATCATTTTAGTCTTCAAAATAGTATTAAAAAGTTTAGTAAGCCAAGAAATTCCTTCATCTCCTAAGCATTTCCACACCTCTATTGGAATATCATCAGGTCCAACAACTTTTCTACCCTTCATTTTCTTTAAAGCTTCTCTAACTTCAGTTTTACTAATATGCTGATAAAAATAGAAATTTTTATTTTCATTTAGGGTGCTAAGGTTATTATAGTTAATTTTATTTTCACAATCTTTATTAAAAAGTTTAGTAAAATATCTCATCCTCCTTTGCTGAATATCATCTCTTAAGAAAAGTATTTTTTGATCTTCATCCTTAATACACTTCACTTGAACTAAATCCTTATTATTATCTCTTTGTTTGGCTAACTTATACATATATATTTCTCCCTCCTTAGTATCTAATTTATTATATAAATCACTAAAAGCTACGATCATTGCATCACATATTGCTTTCTTAGATTCCTTACGAGCCTTTTAATATCTTTCCCAATTATTAGAATTTTTAAAATTAAACCAATTTTTTAAATAAATCTTCTTATTTTTAATCTTTTCTTACACATTTAGATTCCACCACAAACTATTTTTACTATTATGAGCTTTTCCTTTTGATACTCCAAGCATATCTTTTGCAATATTCTTAATATCACTAGCCACGTTTTTCAAATAACATTAGCATCTTCATGCACAGACAAAATTTTAAGATCTAAAATCTTACTCTAAAAATTTTTTTTATTATTATTCTTTAAATGCCACCATCTAATCCTAGAATATCATTTTACTTTATTTTTTATTTTTTGCCTCTTTATCTTAAAGTCCAAAACTAATAATCGATATTGAGTACATAAATTTTTACGCGGAATAACTTTACAATCTTAAACGATCTAATTTTCTTATAAGAAAATAGTCAATCTGGGTTGAACTATGTCCATTTTTATAAGTGATGAGATGCTCATTTCTTTTCTTAAATAAGATATTAGCAATTGAAAAATCATAAGCTAAACAAAATTTAATATGGTATTGCTACCTTCATTTATCGTTCTAAACCCATGGTCACCATGAATGCTTTTAAAATCATCTACCTCTCTATCAACATGTTCATTTAAATCTCTTCCAATAAAAATTCTTTCTTTAAGAGGTATCTTTTCTATTAATTCTTCTAAGTCATTCCAAAAATTTAATTTAGAACTCATATCCTTTTAACTTAGGTTTTTGAAAAAGAGCCATCCATAGAAAATTGCTGGATTTCTATGGATTAAGGAAGAAGTCAACAAGGTTATAGGAGAAAAGTCGACAAAAATGATCTAAATGGTCCTGTGGCTAAATGCGTTCGTCACACATAACAAAGGTTGATAGACCTAGGGTTTCTAAGTTAAATAAAGAGCCTGTCAGACCTAATGTTCGATGACAGACCGTTTGTAATGCCTTCATCAAGTAGAGACGAAGATAATTGAGAAAGAAGTTATCGCTTACAAGAACTTGAACACATCGTCACTACCACTAATTCGTCGGAATCAATGAATGGGGAAGAGGAAGAGGTATTGGTGAATTAACTTAGTTAGGGATGAGATAAAATCCTCTTTCTTGCAAGCAAAATTTGTGCTCCAAGAGCCTATTCCCATCCCTCTTCTCTTTGGGCTCTTCTAACTATACAAAAAGAAGACTCTCCTGCAGAAAATAAAAACTTCTTTCTGTTTTTCTTAATAAAAAACTCTTCCTTCAACATCTTCCTTGAAAATGAATAGCTCTTTGCATCCATAGCTCAATAAAAAGAAGGGAAAGCACTCTCCCACTCGATTGGTGAAGCTTGCAATTTCAAGCAGTTGAGATCAACCTCAAATATCATTATGCCCTCGATTTATAGGTTAGCGACTGTGATTGATCCCACCATTACCCTTGATGGTATTGCCTGCTTTTTAGAAAGCGCAAGAGATCATGGTAAAAGTCAGATGAGGACAGGCACAATAATTGCCCATCCATTGTATTTTAGTTGGATGCAAATGTTTGACTTTGGAAAGGCTTTAGAAGGCTTAGGTGGGTGTTTGAAAACGATTTGATTGCGACTTGAACTTGATAGGCTAATTTGAGCTCGATTTGGTTGGATTTGACTCAACGTCATTTAGTTTAGCTCAATTTGACTCGATTAGATTTAATTTCACTCGATTGGTGAATTTAAGGCTGAAATGAACTAGTACCTTTGATTAAATTGAATTAATTGATTCAATTTAGTCGAATTGAGATGGGTCAAGTGAAAAAATTGAATCAAATTTGAATTGGTTGGTCAATTTAATAAATTCAAGTCAAATTGACATAAAAATCGATTCAACATAACTCTATTTTATTCTTTTCAAATCATTAATGAGGGGTTTTCCCAACTGTTCGATAATAATAATAAAAAAGATGTAGATAAACTTACAGTACAAGAAAACATAAATGAAAAAGGGGTTGATATCATAAAACTATTCATGTTCCGAACAAAACATTAACGGAAAATGGTGCGGTATCTTATTATTGTGATATCATTATAAAAACTTTCCCTTTAGACTTTCTTTTTAAATTGACTTCATGTATGTTGGTTTTTAGATGCGACTTGCTTTTCTTTAGAATTTCTGCCATTCCATAGTTTTTTAGTTATGTACTTCAAAATAATGGAACTTAGTATTAATTTAATCTATAATGTATCATTTGCAGTTTAATGCAAGATCCTTTTAGGTCCGTACCACTTATATGGCTTATTCAGGAGGGTAACCTTAGCAAGCGCCTTTCCTCATATATAGCCTCGGGGAACGAAGATCTTATCTCTGGGTGGAGAAGTGCTTTCAGTAGGGCAAACGTTGTGGTGTTTTCAGATTTCTCTCTACCAGTAAGCAACTTGCATTTCCACTGACAATAAATGCTGGCACAGCTCTCTTTTAATGGATAAACGTGGTTGTTTTCTGACTAGCATGCTATTTCTGTTTTTTCTGACTAACATCTATTTCTGTTAGCTGCTGTACACTTCATTGGATAGTGGAAACTTTTACGTGATTCCTGGATCTCCAGCTGATGTCTGGTCGGCAAAGAGGTACATCACATCTCATTCTCGGCTTGCTTTACGGGAAAAGTATGGATTCAACGAGGATGATCTAATAATTACTGTTATGGGGAGTTATTTTTTCTACGATGATATGCCATGGAGCTATGCTGCTAGCATGCTAACACAACAGTTTATGAAAATTACGAGAATAAAGGACCTTGGAGGAAAATTAAATTTTGCTTTCTTGTGTGGGAACACAACAGATTCTCTTAGTTCTGATTTTCAGGTACTAGTTTTTTTCTGCATGACGTGTTTTTATTTTGGCTATGTGCCCTCTGTGAATCTAACATTTCTGCCCATATATCAAATCTTTGTGTGATCACAACATTCACACTTTCAGAATATCATTTAAAAAAAAACAATAATTTTAAATCTGTATGACCAAAACTTTGAGCTTATCCATTTTAATTTTACATTATCCTTGGGGAGCCCTTTTTTTTTTTTTTTATCGTGATAACGTTTGTATTACCATTCTTTAATGAAATTGCAAGATTTCTGCCGGCATCTTTTTTAGCTTTACTCTGTACTTAGAACGTCTAAGAATGATTCGGCTAAATGACAAATATTAATTTTGTAGGCTCCATTTTTTTCATTTAGGTTAAAGGTGCTTATGTAATAATTCTTCTGGATATCTGCCTATTGCTTTCATGCTGGAAAGATAAAACTATTATTTAGTTCATTATTTCACTTTTTTTCTTCATTCGCTTGAAGTTATGAAATTCAACTAAGGTGAGGCGATGCAATCAAGGAATAATATGCTTGAGCGATTAAATTACTTAGTATAATCCTCTGACAAGTCAACTCCATGGCAGAAGACATCTATTATAATTATGCTGAAGTTTTAAATTCATAATTTTCATGTCATGTTTTTGTCAAATTGTATTATTGGGAATAAAAGAAACAAGCTTTCTTTGTTGATGTGCCTTGATTTCCACTTCAATTTTGTTGTTACAGGAGCTTGCTTCACGTATGAGCTTTCCTCTTGATTCTGTACAGCATTATGGCATGGATACTGATGTGAATGGTGCCATAATGATTTCTGATATAGTCCTTTATTGGTCCTTCCAAGAGGAGCAGAATTTTCCTCCACTTTTAGTGCGCGCCATGTCTTTCCAAATCCCAATCATTGTTCCTGATTTTTCTATCATAACTAAATATGTAAGTGTACTTTCCAAGTGATTGTTTGTTTGCATGCAAGTGGAAGTAGGTAGGAAAAATGGAAAGAGGTCACTTCAACTATTTGGTTGGCAGGGAAAATGGGAAGCGACTTCCTCTCAAGAAATTGGTTAATTCAATTGTCAGCCTTCTGACTTCTAACCTGATGTGTTGAACTCACACTTTTGGAAGTCATTAATTATGATGATCTTAACTTTTTAAAATTATAATGCCACTCATATATTCACCAACACTACATGCACATGATATAATATATCGCAAAATATATTCAAATATTTATTAAAATTAAATAGTCAATTTTTATAATTAATGCACTTATTAATCGTAGTAAAATAACTCTTATTGAACATGCAATGAGTAGTGTATTGGATAATAAGTGATTCAATCATAATTTATGTATTTTCATTATCGAATATTGAACATTAGTTTTTAATTTAGTTTTATATTTTTTTAGCTATACAATGATGGGAAAGCATCCAATGATCATGGTAGGTTGTGCTTGGGCTTTGGTAGACCTTTGATTTGCTAGCTTTGTGGGTCCTTTGTGCTGCTGTTGGTTCTCGAGTTGGCTTATGGTTCTCAATTTGAGCTTATGATGATGTTGGGAGGTGGAGGTTTATTGGAGTTGAGCTTTATTTTTTCTAAGTTGTTAGCTTATTAATGTTGAGCTAAAGTTTAGTTCATTTATTGGGGGATTTATTGAACTACCTAGCTCAGTAATCTAAAAAGGTATGCTCTTAAATCTTGGATTCATTTTGGAGTGGACTTGTCTCTTCTCCCCCCCTTTGTTTCTTCTCATTTCACTGTGCTGGGTGAAATCCCGTGCCTTTGCCCCTTTGGTTCCTGTAGCTGGCTGTTCGGTTCTGCGGCTGGTTGCTTGGTTCCGTGCTGGGTTGCTCGGTTCCGTGGTTTTTGCTTGGTTCTGTGAGTTTTCTTCTCTGTTTTGCTGTGCCGTTTGAGAATTGTTATTGTGGTTGTTGGCCTTTCATTTCCCTAAATCTAATTGGTTTATTTGGTGGTGCTATGGCTGTTGAATTCCCCTCTCTTGCCTATATATTGAAGATGTATTTTGAGGGGAAAGGTAGTTGAAAATTGTTGAGCATTTTCTCTTTAAAAACCAGAGGGTTTTCTTCTTGGAAAAGCTTGAGAGCTTTATCCACTTCTTTTTCTCCTCTATTTCGTCTGGGCTTCTTACCTCTTTCTTCTTTACGCAAGTTCCACTCCATTTGTATCCTTCTTCTTGAGCTTTGGAGGTGTTTGTTGGCTAATTTGGGAGCATTTGCTGGAGGAGTTTGGTTGGACGTTTGGACCTTCTTGCTCTGATGGACCATCGGTTACCTAGCCCTAAGCACATATTTTACTTAACCTACATTTCGATGCATGTGAGGAAATCGTTCTGTCGGTTGTTCTGAGGATAACGACTTTTTTATTTTTTTGTTTCTTTTGATGGCTCTTCTAGTTTTTATCCGTCGGTTTTTGTGCTAATAAATGATTGCTACTATTTGAATCGAGTTTGGTTATAGTTTTGCCCATCGTTCTCCTTGTTTGACATTTTCTATCTAGTGCGCTGCATTAAGTTTGGTATCAGTGCAAGTTTTTATCCTTGGTTGGTGTGATTTTTGTTGGCATATTGTTTTTTTGTGGCTTTTTTCTAATTTCTAAGATGGCTAATAATCCGGGGGATTGGCAAAATCTTATGCAACAACTGAATCATTTGCAACAACAAATCAGCACTATTGCTGAAACAATTGAGAATTTGAATGTTAATAACGCTAATGCTAATCCTAATGTTCAAACTTTTGAAAGTGAAGAAAAGGTTCCTAGAAATCAACATAGGCAACAAAGAAATTGGGACTGTGAAATTAAAATTGATATTCCTAACTTTGAGGGTAAACTGCAACCCGATCAATTTCTTAAATGAGTAGAAAAGATAGATTAGTTTTTTGAATGAAAAGAAATACATGATAATAGGAAAGTTCGCTTTGCTAGCTTAAAACTTTCTGGTCATGCCTAAACCTGGTGGAAAAACTTTCAAAATAATAGACTTAGGAGGGGAAAAGAAAAAGTCCAAAACTGGAAAAGAATGAAGGAGAAAATGAAAGGAAAATTCTTGCCAACTGATTATGCTCGAACAATATTCCAAGAGTTTAATAGCTTGAAACAAGGAAATCAATCCATTGAAGAATATACCGAAATGTTTTACAAAATTCAATCCAGAAACGATTTAGAAGGATCTCAAGAAAAAATTGTTTCAAGATACATCAATGGCTTAAAGTGGTCAATCCAAGATCAACTCAACTTGCATCTTATCATTAAAACTGACGAAGCATATCGTATGACAATAAAATTGGAAAAGCAACATCAAAGGGAAATGGGTCACAATAAAGTAATTGAAACATATAAACGACGATCAGTTGGCGGGGTTAAAACTTAATCTCAAAATTTTGGGGGAACATCTGGTGTGAAAGTTCAAACTTTTGAAAATCAAAATGCTGATAAAGAAAAATGGATTATGGGTGCTAAGCCGACTGATCAACCTAGATTAATAGGACCATGTTATAAATGCGGGCTTTATGGTCATCTCTCTGCCACTTGTAGGAAAAACAATCTACCAAGAAACAATCTCATTGAAAACGATGAAAATTTGGAGGAAGAAGAAGTAAATGAAACTGAATCTGAAAATGACAATGAAATAGAAAAGGTTGATGTTGAAGGAGATGAAGGTGAAGAGTTTTTGGTAATACGACAAGTCTTAACAACTAAAATTGACAAAGGAGATAGGTGGCTAAGAAGAAACATATTCAAAACAACTTGCACAATCGAAGGAAAAATCTGCACTCTTATGATAGATAGTGGGAGTTCTGGAAATTTTGTGTCTTAAAAACTGGTTGATAAGCTTAAAATAAAATCAACACTTGTCAAATCCTATAAAATCTCTTGGTTCAAAGAAGGGGGTGAGGTTCCAATCACTAAACAATGTACTGTCAATTTGTCAATTGGGGGTTCTTTCAAAGATCAAGTTGTTTGTGATGTTGTGCCTCTTGAAGTTTGCCATATTTTGTTAGGACGACCTTGGAAATATGACCACAAAACTATTCACAATGAAGAGAAAAACACATATACTTTGGTGCAAAATAATAAGGAGTTTACTCTTCATCCACAAAAAAATGTGCCGGATTTGCCTGTTAAGAAAAACACAGTTGCCAAAATTACTTCTCCTGAATTGTTTTTAAATGCTAATGATTTAAAACATTATGAAGTTGCTTATTTGATTTTGGGAAAAGAATCTGATACTGCTTTTCAAATCCCTAAAGAAATGCAAGCTTTAATTGATGAGTTTTCTGATATAACTTCTGATGAGTTGTCAATTGGGTTGCCTCCTATGCAAAATATTCAACATCATATTGATCTAATTCCTGGAGCCACTTTGCCTAACCTTCCTCATTACAGAATGAGTCATTCTGAACATGCTGAAGTTTTTAAGTAAGTGATTGATTTGTTAAAAAAAGGTTTGATTCAAGAAAGTTTAAGTCCCTGTGCTGTGCCTGTTTTATTAACACCAAAAAAAGATGGAACATGGAGGATGTTTGTGGATAGTAGGGCAATAAACAAAATCACCATTAAATATCAATTTCTAATTCCTAGACTGGATGACATGCTTGATATGCTAATTGGTGCCAAAATCTTTTCTAAAATTGATTTGAGAAGTGGGTATCATCAAATAAGAATAAGGCCTGGTGATGATTGGAAAACTGTTTTTAAAACTAAAGAGGGTTTGTATGAATGGCTTGTGATGTCTTTTGGGCTTTCAAATGCTCCGAGTACTTTTATGAGAACTATGAATCATGTTTTAAAATCTCTTATTAGAAAGTTTGTTGTGGTTTATTTTGACGACATTTTGATTTATAGCATTCATCCTTCTAAACACTTAAATCATGTAAGGCAAGTGTTGCAAATTCTAAGGAAACAATATCTTTTCATCAATCTTAAAAAATGTTCCTTCATGACTTCGAGTTTGACATTATTGGGTTTTATTATTTCTGCTGAGGGGATAAAAGTGGATCCGATAAAAATAGAAGCAATTCAAAATTGGCCGATTCCTAAAAACATAAGTGAGGTGAGAGGATTTCATGGCTTGATTTTTTTCTATAAAAGATTTATAAAGAACTTCAATTCTCTGATTGCTCATATTACTGATTGTTTGAAAAAATGATTTTTAGGTGGACACCTCAAGCTGAAAAAACTTTTGAAATCATCAAGGCAAAAATAAGTCAAGCTTCCATTCTTAGCTTACCAAATTTTAAAAACATTTTTGAAGTTGATTGCGATGCCTCTCATGTTGGTATTGGTGCTGTGCTTAGTCAAGAGGAAAAACCTGTTACTTACTTTAGTGAAAAACTGAATGAAATTAAATCCAAATATTCTACTTATGATTTGAAGTTTTATGCTATTGTTCAAGCTTTAAAATTCTGGAGGTGTTATTTGATTCAAAGGGAATTTGTTCTAAATACTGATCATGAAGCACTTCGTTTTTTGGACTCTCAAAAAAATTTGAATAAGAGGCATGCCAAATGGGTTTCATTTTTGTAAGAGTATACTTTTCATATCAAACATAAAACTGGTGTTTTGAATAAGGTTGCTGATGCTTTAAGTAGGAGATCTCATTTGTTGGTAACTGTTTATCCAACTATCACATCTTTTGATTTTTTGAAAGATACTTATGCAAGTGATTCTTATTTTAAGAGTATTTGGGATTCTTGTCTTACTTTTGGAACTGATCATTCTGCTTAATTTGTTATTCATAAAAGTTTTTTGTTTAAGAGATCTAGACTTTGCATAACTAAAAATTCTTTAAGAGAACAACTTGTAAAAGAATTTACATAGTGGAGGTTTGGGTGGACATTTTGGGCAAAGGAAAACAATTGCTTTGGTTGAAGAAAAATATTTTTGGCCTCATATGAGAAAGCACATTGCTAAGTTGGTTGAACAATGTAAAATATGTCAGGCTTTCAAGGGAACTTCACAAAATTCTGGTTTGTATACTCCTCTACCTATTCCAAACAAACCTTGGGAGGATATTTCTATAGATTTCATTTTGGGTTTGCCTGTTACTATTCAAAAATTTGATTCTGTTTTTGTGGTGGTAGATCGTTTTAGCAAAATGACACATTTTATTCCTTGCAAGAAAACTTCTGATGCTTCTTACATTGCTGATCTGTTTTTTAAAGAAAATGTTCTTCTTCATGGTGTTCCTCGTACTTTTACTTCTGATCGAGACACTAGATTTTTGAGTCATTTTTGGAGAATTCATTGGGCAAAACTTGGGACTACTCTTCAATTTAGTAGTGCATATCATCCTCAAATTGATGGGCAAACTGAAGTTGTCAATCGAAACTTAGGAAATTTATTAAGATGCCTTGCTGGGGAAAAACCATCCCAATGGAATTTAGTCTTGCCTCAAGCTGAGTTTGCTTACAATAATTCTGTTAATTGTTCTACCGGTAAAACTCCTTTTGAAGTTATTTATGGACAACCTATTCCTCATATTTTAGATAGAAATTGCTTGTCATTACTTAACAAAATTAGTGCTGAAGCTTTTGAGACTTTTGACCACATAAAAACTGTCCAACAGCAAGTCCTTGAAAAACTCCAAAAAGCTAATGCTAAGTACAAATCTACTGCTGATAAACATCGAAAGAGGTTATTTTCAATAAGGGTGATTTGGTTATGACTTACTTTTGTCGCTAACGATTTCCTGTTGGTACTTTTAGAAAGTTAAGCAGAAAGAGATTTGAGCCATTTCGTGTGCTTCAGAAATTAGGCACAAATGCCTATCTGTTGGATCTACCTATTTCTGTTGGCACTTCTTCTGTATTTAATGTTTCTGACCTTTCTTTATATGATGGAAATTATGATGATTCTGTAGAAATTGAAACTTTGCCACTCTCCACTTCTATGGCAAAGACTGAAGAACAGATTGAAGACATTATTGATGTCAAAATTTCTAAAACAAGGCATGGTGAGCATAAGAGATTCTTAGCAAAATGGAAGAATCGATCTCTAACCGACTGTACTTGGATGGACGCTAAAGAGCTAAAACGACGTCATCCTGATCTTTTTCAGAAAGTTACTGAAGCTTTCTCATCCGGAGATGAGGCTCGCCCACCAGGGGGGAATTGATGCAATCATAATTTCTGTATTTTCATTATCGAATATTGAACATTAGTTTTTAATTTAGTTTTATATTTTTTTAGCTATCAAATGATGGGAAAGCATTCAATGATCATGGTATGTTGTGCTGGGGCTTTGGTAGACCTTTGGTTTGCTAGCTTTGTGCGTCCTTTGGGCTTCTGCTGGTTCTCGGGTTGGCATATGGTTCTTAGTTTGAGCTTATGATGATGTTGGGAGGTGGTGGTTTATTGGAGTTGAGCTTTATTTTTCCTAAGTTGTTAGCTCATTAATGTTGAGCTGAAGTTTAGTTCATTTATTTGGGGATTTATTGAACTACCTAGCTCATTAATCTAAAAAGGTATGCTCTTAAATCTTGGATTCATTTTGGAGTGGACTTGTTTCTTCTCCTCCCCTTTTTTCTTCTCATTTCTCTGTGCTGGGTGAAATCCCGTGCCTTTGCCCCTTTGGTTCCTGTGGCTGGCTGTTCGGTTCTGCTGCTGGTTGCTTGGTTCCGTGCTGGGCTGCTAGGTTCCGCGGTTTTTGCTTGGTTCCGTGAGTTTTCTTCTCTGTTTTGCTGTGCCGTTTGGGAATTGTTATTGTGGCTGTTGGCCTTTCATTTCCCTAAATCTAATTGGTTTATTTGGTGGTGCTATGGCTGTTGAATTCCTCTCTCTTGCCTATATATTGAAGATGTATTTTGAGGGGAAAGGTTGTTGAAAATTGTTGAGGATTGTTTCTTTAAAAACTTGAGGGTTTTCTTCTTTGAAAAGCTTGAGAGCTTTGTCTACTTCTTCTTCTCCTCTATTTCGTCTGGGCTTCTTACCTCTTTCTTCTCTATGCAAGTTCCACTCCATTTGTATCATTCTTCGTGTGGTTTGGAGGTGTTTGTTGGCTGATTTTGGAGCATTTGCTGGAGGAGTTTGGTTGGACGTTTGGACCTTTTTGCTGTGGTGGACCATCTGTTTTCTAGCCCTAAGCACATATTTTACGTAACCTACATTTCGATGGATGTGAGGAAACCGTTCTGTCGGTTGTTCTGAGGATAGCGACTTTTTTATTTCTTTTGTTTCTTTTGATCTCTCTTCTAGTTTTTATCCGTCGGTTTTTGTGCTAATAGATGATTGCTACTATCTGAATCGAGTTTGGTTATTGTTTTTCCCATCGTTCTCCTTGTTTGACATTTTCTATCTAGTGCGCTCGCATCAATAACTTATCAATTTCTTATGATATATTGCGTAATATTGAATTAAAAAATATAAATATTATGATGTTTACATTATTTTTAAAACTTTGTAATGTTGTAGCAATGTTGTCAAATAAGGATAGCATTTTGTCCTCCCACTCACTTAACCTGCAACTATATATTATATATACCAATGTTGTAAAAAAAGGATATAACTATGTCCGCCCACTCACTCACTCACTCAACCTGCGATTCTATATTATATATAACAATGCTTTAAAATAAGTGAAGCTATCTATCCAACTACTTTCACTCAACCCGTGTAACCCTTTTCTTCTCACAAAGCGTTCCAATTTATATTTTTTAATTAGAACAAAAAGATTGCGTGTATATAATTTTTGTATACTTATTGGGCACTTCTACTTCCTTCACAATCAAGCAATAGAATAGAATAAAAGGAAGTGTCACATATCTGCTGACAACCAAATTTTCTTTTTAGAACTGAATTTCTCATCTTTCAATTAGAAGAGAGATGTGTCACTGCCTCTGGATGGATAACCAAACAGTCCCGAAGTGAATTTCCATCTACCCGTCTTCCCATTCTTTTCTCTCCTAATTGTTTCCCACTCTAAAATGCATGTGCAGTTGCACGCATAACGTTTTTTTGCAGTTCAACACTTTCCTATGTTTTGTTAACGTATTACTTTACTGAATTTAGCTTGGCATTTTAGGTTAATGATAAAATCCATGGTCTTGTTTTCTGCCCTCAAGATATAGACAGCTTGGCAAGTGCTTTCTTACTTCTTATAGAAGATAAAAGGCTGTCAACGATGGCATATTCAGTTGCTAACGAGGGGAGGTTATTGGCTGAAAATATGTTTGCTTCTGATTGTATCATTGATTTTGCAATTCTTCTAGAAAGGATGCTACACTTTCCATCTGATTCATTCCTTCCAGAGTCCGTTTCTCAAATTAAGCAACGAACATGGGCATGGGATTTGCTTGGCAATGAAAATGATCAAAACAATCGTTTTCAACATCAGGGTTCATGGAACTTTTCTGCAATCCAGGACGAAAGAGTACCTGATAAATCTCAAATATGTCCCCAAGTTATTAATGAGTCTGCCTCACTGGTCTATCCCACTCAACTTGATTGGAATGATCTCAGCCAGATGGAAATTGCTGAAGATTTTGAGAGACAGGAAATGGAGGAGGTTAGCAGCTTATTTTCTTTCTAGTGAATTTACTTGTTTTAAGAGGTTTCATTTTTTTTTTTTTTCAAGTATCGGTAGATTTGGTACTAAGTGTCTAAAAGGTTACTTGACCCTATCATCACTTATGTTTGGTTCTTCTTTAGATTGCAGAAAGGATGGAAAGAGATTTGGGATCTTGGGAGGATGTATATCGGAATGCCAAAAAGTCTGAAAAGCTTAGATTTGAAGTTAATGAGCGTGATGAAGGTGACCTAGAAAGGACTGGACAGTCATTGTGTATTTATGAAATTTATAATGGACAAGGAATATGGCCATTTCTACACCATGGCTCTCTATTTCGTGGTATAAGTCTTGTATGTGCACTCCTCCATATAGTTTGACAATTTGTTATTCATGAGCTATGTGCCTTTTTATTAATCATTTTCTTTTTCCTGCATTTGTATGTTTGTTAACTGTTACTTTTCTCTATTATACCAATTGAAATTTTAGAGAAATTCAAATTTTGATCCATTTATACTGCCTTTAATTAATAAATTTGTATTCAATTTCCTTTAAAAAAGTTTTCTGTGCCTAGGCAGAGGTTTAAGAGGATCCCTACTTGTTTCTTAGTCAGAATATAAGCACACAGAGGAGTCATAAGATCCAGTTACATTTGATTTCTTTTGTTTTATGAGAAAAATATCTTGGAAGCTGGGACTCATATGCTAGAATGGGGAAGTAGTTGTCTTTGTGCTGTTTTTTTATCTTTATAGGACTTTGGTCAGCAGGACATAGTGCTAGCAAAAAGAGCTCTTACAACAAACATACACTGATTAACGAAAGGGAGGACAGAAACAGGGAAATCCACTTGAGAAACTTTAGCTAGGTTACCAACAATGAAGCTCTTGCTTGGAGTGTTGACGTCTTCAGGCTGAGGAACTGCTTCCAACAACAAAATAGAAGCCGAAGAGAGCTGGAGGCACTTACATCATTGAAAGTATATGAACCGAATTGAGCAGTCAAGAAATAAACCACACTTGCAGCCGTGTCAGACTTCTGTAGAGGTTGCTGGAAGAAACCATAGGCCCATAAATATTGATTTGTGGAAGGATAAAGTTAGCAGTTCTTGAGGCTTATCATGGAATCTGGGTAGCTGAAGCTTTTCCAATCCATTTTCCAAGTAAATAAATATGAACGTTCCACCATCATTTTTTTGGTCTGCATAAAAGGCTTCTATTTAACAAGAATCAAAGTTTTCCCCTCACCACAATTTTTCTAATAAAATAAGCTCTCTTAATAATCTAATCTGGAATTCGAAAGACAGGTAAATATTATAAATAGGCCACATTCAACATAGAATTATAAGGATAATGCTACCACCCAAGACAAATTTTAACTTTCTCGCTACTCAATTTATGATTCACTCTATTAATGTCAATGATCCAAAAATCTGTTGGAATAGGCTTGGAGCTAAGAGGAACATTGAGTATTTAAAAGTCGTTTTATTCGAAGAACTTAATCATGAAGCAAGTTCCTTTCCATTGCCATCATTCTTGCACAAATAGATTAAAGATAATTTTGGGAGGTTAATATTAAACCAATGATGTCTCATAACCAGAAAAAAAAAAAAGATTCATAACTTGTTGAAAATTATCACTGCATAAAATCAAGATATCATTGAAAAATTTAATGCTAGTAGGAATATTAGACAAATTTTATTTGCACCTATCAATCAATCCATCATTAGCCGTAGAGATCATTTTATTTTATGAAGAATATTAGCAATAATATTAAAAAGAAAGGAGAAACAGAATTGCTTTGCTGCATCATCTTTGACATTTGAATTTTTTACCTTATTTCTTATTGGCAATAATGATAGCATCTGGATGAATCAGTCTCCTTAATCCAAAGAATAAATTTTTACGGAAAATGTCTCTTTTAGCAAGTGTGAGGAGAATGAAGTTCCATTAATAGAAATCAAAGGCCCTTTCCAAAATTCATCCTATTGATAAATTTCACACCCTTCTTCTTAAGGCATGAATACATAGTTTTATGGGCAACAATAATGCAGTTTGTTGTATCTCTACTTGAAATGAAAGCACTCAGAGAGAAATACACCAAGTTAAAAATATCTTTATAAATTCTATTAGCAAGATTTTTGTGAATATCTGTAAAAGGCTAATAGATCCGAAATTATTAACCAATTCACAATTATCATTTATAGGAATGAAGCAAATGGTTGTTGAACACAGTCTGAAGTCTAGTCATTCTGAAGATGATTAGACATAAGTTATTTGTAATGGTTTCCCACATAACTTCAAAGAAATTTATAGGATCGGGACTTGGAGGTTTGTTAGTCCCCATGAAGAAAACCACCTCTTTGATCTCTTCAATATTAGATCGGGAATCTAAAAATTTCAACAAAACATCAGAAATGTTATGTTATGAGTTCTTTTACCAAAAGGTTTCTTATAAAACTCAGTAAAAGCTGCAGAAATGTCAAGCAATGAGACATGAGCGCATATTCTTCGCCAATCTTTGATTTGTTGAATAAAATTAAGCTTGCTTCTTCCACTGGCTATCTTATGATAATAAGATATCATATTATCTCCTTCCAAATGCCAATTCACCTTACACCTTTGGTGCAACTAGATTTCATCTTTCATTTTTTATGGCCACTGTTTACCTTGTCACTATACAACATAGTTAATGTGTTCAGTGCTCCTGTTAAAATTATCTCAACAAAATTCCCTCTAAAGGCTTTAACATACCATTATCTAATATAGTCATTGTTAAATCTCAACCTCTCATTCTCATGTTAATCTCACGGCTACAAGGAGGGATCCATCGGAAGCCCGCCTTAATCATGTTGAACACCTTCCATAGATGGGCAGCTGATTTAGGAAGAGTAATATTTCATTATTATGTAGTTATTTGTTTCCTTATTAAACATCTTGTGTAGATCTATAAATAGGGATTGCAGTATATAATAAAATTCAAGCTTTTTCTTTCATACCTCTCAAATTAACATGGTATCAGAGACTCCTGAGGAATTGAAGAGGAAAACATCACCCTAGACGGCAGACGCTCCTCGAGGGAGAATGAAGCAAAGCCGGCCGAAGCTAAGGAAGAAGCAAAGTCTTGCGACGGAAGCCAAGGTTGTAGACAGAGTTGACGACACGGATAGAGCTTGAGGAAGAAATGACCTTCATTATCGTTGAAGATCTATTGTTGTCGAGCCACCACGCATACACAAGAGGCGGAGATGGGGCTTGCCCCCAAGGAAGATAGGCCGCCGATAGTGCCAAACGCTGGAGCTACTAGACAACTCTGACACCTCTGGAGAACTCCAGCGTGCCAACCGCAAGTGTGGAAGTTGGGAAGCCGACGGAGGAAGCCGGGACGGAGAGAGAGGGTGAATCATGCCATGTGCGTGCCCTAAGCTACCCGGTCCAACTCTTTTAAAAGAGTCGGTTTGGCCCGATTAATTAAACCGGGAAGTTATATTAAAAAAAAAGGAAAACCATCGGTTTTTATTGCCGTGACTAAAGATCGGAGGGATTTTTTTTCCGGGTAGCTCTCATTGCTATCCACAAATAGTTTTCATTGCTATTAATGTGAGAAATTAATTCCTCCCAAAGCATTGACCAATTTGAGGATCCTATGGTGCACCAAGGGCGAGGTGACCTCAAAAGCATGCAACCTTCCCATTGTCTCAATTGGAAGAACTACCTAAAGTGGTCTAAATTTGTGAAGAACTATTTAAAGGGGAAAGGAAAAATACACCACCTAAATTTGTGAAGACCTAGTTAAAGGGGAAAGGAAAAATACACCACCTTCTCGGAGGACTAAGAGAAGGATATCCTAATTTTTGGGCATGGGAAGAAGCAGACTCCATGATTATGCCATGGTTGTGGAATTCCATGACTTTAGAAATTAGCGATACATTCATGTTCCTTCCCACTGCAAAGGACATATGGGATGCTGCCAAACAAACCTTTTCCAAAGCTTGGGATGCGGCTCAAATCTTTGAAATTAAAGTCAAAGTAGGAAGCACAAAGCAAGGGAGCATATCGTGGCGAAGTATGCCACCCTTCTACAAAATCTATGGTAAGAACTTGATCACTACAGATACATAGAAACCAAATGTCCGGAGATGCTGCGATCCTAAAGAACTTTATTGAAAAAGATCGAGTTTATGATTTTGTTGTAGAACTAAATGCAGAATTTGATCAGGTTAGAGTCCAAATCCTTAGCAAAGAGAAGGCAACATCACTTAATGAAACAATTTCTCTCATCCGGACGGTGGAAAGCTGACAAGGAGTGATGTTAAAACCAAAGGTCGTTGATAGTTCAACAATGGTGATGAACAGAGAATCATCATCGAAGGAGAAAGGTAAAATTCCTCAAAATTAAAGGACAAAGACTCACTTTGATACAATTATTGCAAGAAGTCAAGACACATAAAAGAAATATGCTGAAAAATACATGGAAAACCCCCCAGTCAGGAGTGGAATCAAAGAATTGAAATAAGGAGTACATCGCATGCCAACAACACTACAAGTCAGCCCAACCTAGAAGCACAATCCAGTCTTGGATAACTCAATAAAGATGACATTGATAAACTGAAATGACTTTTGGTATATCTTGAAAAACCAAATACATTTTCTTCACTGCACTCTCAGGTAAGTTTTCAATTTTTATTAGTTTAAGTGCCTTTAGAAATCATTTAAAGAAATTATGGATTATTAACTCAGGAGTCACATATCACATGACCCATTCACCTACCGACTTCATCAATTATACTCCTTGCCCAAGCAACAGGAAAATCATCAATGATGATGGTTCTCTTACCACGGTATCAGGCGAAGGAGATCATATTCACAGCCAAAATAGAGGAAAACTAGATCCAAGAGCGCACTCAAATGCATCGTTGTTGGTTATTCAACTACCCAAACAAGTTACAAGTGTCATCATCCACTTACAAAAAAAACCTGTCTCTGTTGATGTTATCTTTGATGAACAAAATTCACACTTTTTCAAGCCTCATCTTCAGGGGGAGACTTAACTTGAGGAAGATGAGAAAAATGAACTAGCACCTCTTGACCTTCCTCTACCACCTCAAACCAAGCCACATGAAAACTTGGATAGGGAAACAAAAGACCAAACTGTCATTAGATTTGGGAAGGTATACTCCAGGCGTACAAGTTCAGATTGTGCTCCAAAGCAGATCTAAGAATCTGAACTGTATCCTGAAAATAAGGTAAGCTTACCACCTCCCTTATACCCTATAACCAACTCTATATCCTTCAACAATGATGTAGGCAAAGGGGGGGGGGGGGGGGCCAACACAAGGGGGGGGCGTCAACTCAAA